CTCTCTCTCTCTCTCTCTCTCTCTCTCTCTCTCTTTCTCTCTGGGCATTGTAATCCGGTCGTCCGGACGATAAAATTACGAATAAAGAACGAGGCAATTTTCGTCGGGAACACAACCAATATTTCCATAATAAATCCATTATGAAATAAATGTACGCTCTCGCATCGGCTGTTACCTCGTTGGAAATTGTTGGGAATTTATCCTCGACAAAGCTTACGTTTTGCGCCATTTTCTTAATCTGCTTTTCCGCCTTCCACCAAGTAATTACTGCTTCTGGTCTAGAACCACTTGTCCTGCACTCCACATCGTAGTTCTTGTCAGCGGAAACTCGAGGCTCCTTCGTCAAAATCTGCACGACCAGTGGCTTTACTGAAAAGAAAAAAAAAAAGAACACAAAGTGTCACTATAAGATAGTATTACGGAGGAAGGAAATTTTGGCTTGTCAAATTTTAAGCACGTTAGATTATCTCTCGAACATTTGAACAAAATATAAACGAAACTACTTGTGAATTGAAATGGATATAATGACTGATTACCAGTATTGTTCAATTTTCACGAAGATTCTTTCTTTCGCTATTTCGTAACGGAATATTTCTCTTCAACCGTTAAGTGACAGTAAAGCAGTATAATTTTTCTTTGAATTTGGATAAATATCCAAATATAGTATAAGTACATTAATTTTAACGATGATATTTTCAGTCTTTTTTTTTTTCTAAATTCGATGCAACTTCTTGCAGTTATTAGTTACTCTTTGAAGAGTGGTGCTAAATATTGAATATGAATCTTGAGCTGCTTTCAGGCTAACAAGAAAACTTCGCTTCCTTCAAAATTCAGATTGTCCTGAAACTTTGTTAAATTCTACACGAGATCGAAACTGACATCGGATAATTTCTATTTCCAGTCAGTTTTCGGTTCATTCGCCGAGAACTTGATAAACACAGCGCTCGATTTCAACTCTCGTACATGTGTTTTTGATTCGAAGGAATTCAAATGAAATCTGTTTTTGATACTTTCATGTTATTACATGTAAAAAAATTTGTTAAACAGTGGAAGTTAAACGTAGTAATAATTTCTACTGGACTTCAAAGTAACATTCGATTAACAACTTACTGTGAAAACTCCATTCGTTCAATAGTTAAATCCCAAACTCTTAAATCAAACTCAATTAAACTCATTAAGAACGCGTATTAAATTTTTAACTGTAATATTATACCAAGAAGTCAAACTTGTTCAAATATTGAAGTTATTTCAGTAAACATAAAATTTCCCCATGAATTCCAATGAAATCTCATTTTAGCGTGTTTACCGTCAGATTTTATACGTAAAATAAAAACCCCGATGATATAATCTAACGTATAATTGCGTTAGTATATACACCCAAAATCTCAATATAGATCTGAATACTAATTATCCAATGTATTTCATCAATTTTCAGTATAATGCTACGACAATTTTCTTCTTCTGTAGTAAATCTTTTTAACAATTCTTAATAAATTTATATTCTAAACTCTTAAACAAATAAAATAATATTCTAAACTCTTAAACAAATTTTCAAATTTTCTACATTAAATTCCCTGCTATTTGTCCGTGACGGGTTTCCAAACAATTTAATCCTTTCTCTGTGTAACCTTCTCTCAAATTTAAATCTTCCGGTTATTATGCACAATTTGACCGCGAGCATATAATAACCAGCAACACGAAATAAGGTTTCGCAAAAAAAAAAAAAGAAAAAAGGAAAGATTCCTAACTAGACACGGCTTGTTCTAAAGCGCGTTATATAGCCAACTCTCACCTAGTTGCAAAAACAAATTTCCTCTTTGAACAGTTTAACTTTAACCAACTTATGCGAGCGCCACCACTTTCCCGAACTTATCCTCTTCGCTCTGCTGTTCGTGAAAACTGCAAATTATTCTGGCGAAGCGGTGTGCCATTTTCGTCGTGTTTCACGCGTCGGGATAATGCGAGAGAATCCAAGGGGATGGTGAGAAGGAAATGCCTAATTTCGGCAGGTATTAGGAGAACGCGAAACGGGGACACGGCTTTTTTTTTTAAACTTTGTATAACAACTTTTCACGCTGTTGAAATCTGATCTTACATTTAATTTCTATGATGCGAAAAATAAAGGATAATTTAAGAGTATTAAGTAGAAAATCTCAATATTTAACCCCAATTATGATGTATATGTATAATACATTTATATCACGTTAATAATATATTAATGTGTACCAATAATACCAATCATGCGTTATAATACATTTATGTGTACGTAAACGTGTGCTTCATTCATAAAGTATTTCGCATTCGATCTCAATATTGGAATAATGCTTACGGACAGCGTTGTGCAATGCATACGATTACAAAATACAATAACAGGTAATAATAATGTTCGTAAATACGCTTTAACTACAATTATTATCACACTGTGAATTTCTATATTCAATTGTCAGAAACTCAAAGGCAAATAAATAAAATAATTATTGTAGTAATTAACAGGTGAAGCAATTTCTTTAATTCCGTTCGCGGAAAAATCTCGGAAATCTAAACGAATAAAAATATTCGACGAAGGAAATGTTTCACATGGAAATTTGCATGGAAAGTGAAAGAGATACGTATAAAAACTATTCGCTCACCGAGAAATACATATATATATATATATATACTTTATAATTCAATACATATTCTATACGCTAGAAAATTGTTGAAACGTTCAACTTTTAACGACAATTCGTGGTAAGTACGCGATAATACCCGACACCAAGGAAGTTGGAACGATGTAACTTCAGAAGTAGCGTCTTCACGAAATTACAGAAACGAAGGAGGAAACGTGGAAGCCGCATGCGTCTTGCGAGGGTATCACGTTGCTTAGGGTTAAGGAGAGTCTTTCAAGACGTTTATGGCCGCGTAAACGAGCGAAAGCGGCTCGAAGGAGGCCGTATTACACGCTGAAAGAACCTCTTAAAATCCTGTCGGCGCGGCATTACGATATATCTCAATTATTTAATTCTTTGCTTATATCAACAGCCATCGTTTCACTCGCGTTTTACGTAAATAATTCGAGAAAACGGTGGCTCCCGAAGACTAAGCACGTAAATTGTGAAATTTTTCTACAAATGAAGCAGCGAAAATCATTTACAATTAATGAGGAAATAACATTGAAGGATATTTCACATTTTTAACAAGATGCGAGAAAGTTTCTTGAAACGTTATGAATTATTTTTATTTGCCAAATTGAGCGTAAAATTGAAGTATAAGTGTGCATTTAAGGATCATGTGCGTAGCAGGGTTGATGGAATTTTTGGATAATGAAATAGTGTTATATACATTTGAATGAAGATAGAGAAAATCGCCACTTCGATATTTAAAAATGCTATATTTCTTCCTGTCGCTGAATTGCTTCGATAATTTTGATACAAAATAATTGGATAGTGTTCAATTTTAAATATGTGTAAAACAAAATAAAATTCGGAGTTTCTTGAACGACAAGAGAATCAACAAATGCGCCTCACAGTATTCTCTGAATTGAATGTATGATCCGTTCCTATCACTCTTGGACTTATTCAATCACTCAACTTTAATTATTAAAGTAGTTCGTTTGGAGAGTATAAAACTTCCCATACTTTGAGTTTTAATCTTCGTAGTAAGTTCCACGTCTCTGGAATATTAAATTTCACAACACACTTTGAAAAATGATAGTAATTTCGGTGCACGGACTTTTTAACAATACTGATTCTTGAAGCAAAGATTTATTACAGACAGAGAATGAAATTTTTAACAATGTTATCGTAAAGTTCTTAC